TCCCTCCCTGCCTCCCTGCCTCCCTGCCTCCCTGCCTCCCTGCCTCCCTGCCTCCCTCCCTCTCTTCTCTTCCCCCCCATCTAACCCGCTGAGTTTGTCTTCCACACCTCAGAGGAGTTTGCATACCGACAACCCGGTGTCGACAGTCACATGACGGGTAAGATGACGTGTGGGACATGAAAGTAGCTTGGGTGATGCTGTTGTAATATTGTAGCATTGATGTGATGACATGATGGTATGATGAGTTGATGGTATGATCATTGTGATATGATGATGATGCTGACCATGCCGATGATGATGATGATGATGATGATGATGATGATGATGATGATGATGATGATGATGATGATGATGATGACCACCGATGACGGCGATGATGATGTTGACAGGAAACATGAATGGTCTCTTGAAGGCATGAACATGGAACCAGAAGATAGTAACATACAAACATGTTGGTTTTATCGCAAGGATTCAGGTTGTATCATCTGCTCGATAAAGGATATGGTGATTTTGCCTTCGATAAATTGTTGGAGAAGAAACATTCTGAAGTGGAACTGTCATAATCGAGCAAATAGTTGTTGTCGTTATCGTCATCATTATCACGATTAAGACGCAACATCCACTTGTCTTCCATCTTCATCACCATTATCATCATCACCATAATCATCATCACTATGATGATCATGATGGTCTTAATCCAAGTACAGTTTCTCCTCATCAAGCATAAAGCGTTTCATGTTGCAGTTATCATCCATTGTCGTGTCATCACAATCAAAATCATCACGACCTTGTTGATCTGTCTTTCTTTGTTCTCGTTGAGCACATCTTGACATAATTGCACTGCTCTTTGAAAGTTCCTTTGTTTGTCCACCACTTGTTCAGGACCTGGGCTCATTATTTTCATCCCAACTATTCTCCTTTTCATCACCACCACCATCACCATCACCATCACCATCATCACCACCACTTTCGTCATACATTCATTCTCCTCCATAGAGACGTACCTCATGCATGTTTGACAAGTACTCCGGACACTCGCATAGATGATAAGATCCACCCTTTCCCGCATGATACCCGCTGACTACATTCTGCCCTTCCCAACAAACATCAAGGATCGAAGATTCCTTCATATCAGTCCACGTCTCTGCTTGCAAACCTCAACAACACATTGTGAGTCACGTTGAAACACCTCGAGACACTGGTTGTGTGTATGAGACCCTCGCTTTCTCGTCTCTACATCAGTCGAACGAATCAACTTGCACTCAATCTCAAAACATTTCCACCTCAGGTATCTGGGCTGAAGGGTCTTGGAGGAGAACTTGGCTGGTAGAGTTGATTTTTCACATGTTATCTTATCCAGAATCGTCAAAAATGTTCACAACCATCTTCTTCTTCTTCTTCTTCTTCTTCACCGCTACCTCCATATTCATCATATTCATTATATTCATCATCATCTCTATCATCGTCGTCGTCATCATCATCATCATTTCCATCACCATCATCATCATCATCATCATCATCATCATCATCTCCATCATCACCATCATCTCCATCATCACCATTACTCATTACCGAACATCATCGTCATCATCATCATCATCATCATCATCATCATCATCATCATCATCTCCATCATCATCATCATCATCATCTTCCATCATCATCATCATCATCATCATCATCTCCATCATCTCCATCATCATCATCATCTCCATCATCTCCATCATCATCATCATCGTCATCATCATCATCATCATCGATCATCATCATCATCATCATCATCAATCCATCATCATCATCTCCATCATCGTTATCATCATCCATCATCATCATTCTCCATCATCATCATCGTCATCATCATCATCGTCATCATCATCATCATCATCATCATCGTCATCATCTCCATCTCCATCATCATCATCATCATCATCATCATCATCTCCATCATCGTTATTATCATCATTATCACCTTTGCAATCTTCCCGATCATGTGAGATCTTATCACAACTCATCACCTCAAAGAGAAGACATCACCGCCTCTAGTCACCTCAACACGTCTATCGGGCTCCACTCCCTGGCATGAGCAAGCGGCCGGTCATTTTTACAGCTCAGCTCTTTCAACCATCGCCTTCATGCTTATCAGAACACGGGAGATGTTGAGATTCGCAGCGTCACGGGGCGTTTTGGGAGAGGATCTGAAAGTCATCAGCAAGATTCCAAACAAACAGAAGATGGCGAATTTGATTGAAGATTCTCACCACTTTCTGGCCGACGAATGGCAGGGCTTCATCTGAAAACACTCTTTCAGGTATCTTGTCTAATCATTGTTATAACATCTCGACATGTATAAAACGTTCACAATTCTTACCGCCGATCTTCTGTAAATCATCAAACTTCTTCTGTTTTCTTGCCTTGTCAACTTGTTCTTGCACCCTTATCAGCAATAGTCATTCTGGCCAACAGAGTTGCACATGCGCACGTACATGTTGAATCTCCGCAGGTGAAATTTCATCCTGACATGAGCACGAATTCGCTCCACATGTTCAAGTTTGTTCAAAAGTTTCTTTCTGACATTATCAAGATTTCAATCAGAAACAAACAGACAGTTGCTGCGTCACCTGTCAATCAGTGCAAGTACGTGCCTCGTTGAATTTATCAATTGGTGATACGTGAGATGTCCTCTTGTACGTCTCAAGCTTGCCTGTTGTATCGACAGCATTCCCATCATTCCTCAACCTCAAACTGATAAAACTTGTCTACGTCAACTTCCTTCTTTTTCCTCCAATTTTTGTCCTTGCTGCTGCTGCTCCTCCTCCTCCTCCTCCTCCTCCTCCTCCTCCTTTAATTCATCATCATCACCGCACCTGAACTAGAAGAGCTGCTAAGACCTTTCCCAGGTACCGCGTCCGGCATTTCTCCCTCTTCAGCAGCGAGTCGAGCAAAATTCTTCGCGCAACGGTCAAGTCAAGAAGCATCAAACTTGTTTGACTCACGCCGAACGCAACCAGGTGACAGGATGGCAACTGAACCTGCTCTTGAGGTCATAGAGACACCACTCCTCATCGACAAGACAACAAACTTGGTGGACTTGCCGTGTGCAACTAGATTCCTTCGGAAGCAAGCAGACAGCAGGAGGTAGCTCTCGAACATGGAGGCATACCTTCACCAGACAACCTCAGTCACTTCTTTCAGCAAGAGATCAATGGAAACAAGATCTACTTGCGTCTTGTCAACATACAAACAATGTTTGACTTGAGGAGGAAAGCTCCCTGTTGAGATCAAACCAGCGAGGTCAGTTGCTCAACCATTGAGACCTCAACATCATCATCTTACAGCTTGCAGCAACGAGATGTCCCTTCTGCGACGGACTGCTCTTTCCTCCATCCCCTGCGCGGCAACAAGACATAAGAATCACGGTATCGCGAGCAGGGACTTTCACTTCTTCAGGCGTGAGGTAGAGGCGCTGACAGGAGAGCATCAGGTTGATGTCAGGAGCAAGCCACGAGGTTACGTCTCAACATCTCACCCCATGTGCTAGAATCATCGCATGCATGATCGCTTCAGGTGTTGTGATCTGCATTTCTAGCGTCAGTCGTGCTCTTAACGTTTCCCTCAACATGCCTTTGCGATGTCCTTGCTAGTGACATCAAACCAGCTGTTGTTTGGGTAGCTTCCTGCAACCTGTTCTCGTTCTTATCACCTATCAGCACTCACAATTGCTGCAAAACCAGATCGTACGATTGTTTCTCTTGATTGACCTTGAACGCAAGTCAGCCATCCTGATCAAACCCCAAGTTGCTCTACTTGACCTCACCTGTGATATCCTGGCAAACTCCAATGTCAGGGAGACATGCTCTGCCTGCGGGTGATCTTTCGGATGCGGTTTGTCATATTCGTTCTTCTTCCTCTCCCCAGTCAGCTGACTCCTGGTGTTGTACACGTGTATCAGAACAACCTCCCCCTTCGCAAACTTGTGGGCAGCATCGAAGCTGAGCCAACGATCAGTGATCATCGCGTCTTCAAGGCAGATCATGGGCACCTAAAGTGAACGTCTTTCTGCCAACAACTGGGAACGCCAAAGAGCGTCGGGACGAGCCTGGAAATGAAGTGAACTGTTTCAAGCGCAGACTCTGATCACAGCACAAACATCATTAGCTCAAAAATCATCGCAATAGATTCACAGACAGAATGAGATCAGATGCATCTTGTGTTATCTGTGACAAACATCCACTTGTTGTAGCGATTCTTACCCCGCCATTGTTGTAAGGTTTTGACAACTTTTGAGGGATGCGTGCTGGATGAGGGGTAAATTGTGTGCTGAATGAGGAACATGATCAGGATTCGGAAATGAAGGAGAGGCGGCGGGGAGGGTAGGGATGGCGCGAACCCTTGCTGTGATGCAGCTAGCTGCATGCCAAGTGCTTGTCCTGTGCCTGGCAAACATGCTCGACAGCGATGAAGATGCGAGTCGGAGGTCAACTGATGCAGAGTGGCCGATCTTTGAGAAGATCAGGTCTTCCGGTGCAAAGTTCGAAGGTGCATTTTTGTTTTGCTTGTCGCTCTCTTGCTGAACTGTTTCGACTAATTACCCGCTGTCCGAGCAGCTCGAAATGTCAAGGTGAAATGTGTTGAGCCGTCCTACTAAGACTCCTCAACTACGTGGTGCAGCCAGCAATCGATTGGCAAGTTTATAGATCCGACAACAGGGTGAATCTTGTCAAGAGTTCTTGTTCAGTCTCAATGATCATCAGGGAATCCAAGAGCAAGACGATAGAGCGAAAATGAATCTTCGCAGGAGGTACCCAAGTTTTGAGGACGACTGTCAGGTATGGTGGGATCGGGTGGCGGGTTGAGGAGGACGAGGGAGATGGTTTGCTCGGACCGACCATGGTGGCGCAGATCGAGGAACTTGCAGAGAAGTACCTGGAGCTTCTCGGATACGTGCAGACTGGTACCTTTGTTGAGGTTGGAGCAAGTGGTGAGAGATCATTCAACAAGATTGTGATCGCAAGGGTGACTTGTTGGGAAGACGGTAGGAGGTGGTCGAATTCATACTCGCTAGCTCGGATGGGATGGTATGGGCATTACATTGAGGCGGTAAAGATGAAGCATGAGCAGTGAGGAGTGAGGAGAGGATGAAGATGATGCCTTCAGGTTCCAGAGTATGCGAAGATATGCGCGATGAATCATGCAAGACATCCGAGGGTTCAGACGCATGTCATATACAAGTGTTGCGGAGATGGTGTTGAGTGCTGAGGTTGATGGGCAGGTGCTTGCGATAGGAGATAAAGAAGATTATGCCCGTGTGCATGTCGGATCATCCTTGTCAACGTAAAGTGTTGAGATGAACTTGCGAATGTGCCTGAATGCCTTGCCAGGTGTTCCGACCAGATGAGGAAACTATATGACTCTCTCGATTGGACGCAGGGTATATGCTGAACCTTGACATGTGTGCAGAGAGTCATATGCTTGTTCCAAGGTTATCACACTGGAGAGATCGTCTCAACACGGCAGCACAGCTTGGAATACTTCCTTCGAGCTGTCGGCATCCAGCCGAGGTGTGAAGCCTCCCTCGAGATCAAGCACTGACCTGTTGGCTTGCAGGTTTGAACTTCTGATAGTGGATGTGGAAGGATATGAGTGGGAGGTGTTTCGCAACTTCAACATCTCTGAGTGGAGTCCGCAAGTTGTGATCGTAGAGATCGAAGACGAGCACGACTCATTCAAAGATGTGAAGTTCTTGCAGAAGAGGTGAAGAAAGAAATTCTCTCAACTTCTTGGACTTTCTGTCTGACGAGATGCTAAGATTCCGCAAGCTCCGATCATACTTCCAAGACCATGGCTATGACACTTACTGGAAAGATAAGATCAATACCATCTTTGTGTACAGGCAGTGAAAACATTTCTTAAATTGAACTGAGAATGCAAAATTTGGCACACGTTCACCGACATTCACGTTAGGGGTCAAGTCAGAGCGGATCTTGTGGGAGACATCGACGAGTAAAGAAGAAATCCTGCGATAACAACATCAATCACGTCGCAGGATACTCTGGCAGATCACGTTTGTAGGCACAGCGTAGTGCCTCTTCTGTTGGTTCATGTAGAACTGGATGGATAGAAGTTAGACCCCCGCTGGAAACTCAGCTCAAGGAGGGAGGAAGGGAGAGAGGGAGAGAGGGAGCAAGGGAGCTAGGGAGCTAGGGAGCTAGGGAGCGAGGGAGGTAGCGTAAGGACGGACTTGAATCTTCAGACTTACCCGTTTGGGATCAACTCCGTACACCGGGATGGGGATAACTGCAGCTGACGTCAGCACGAAAATCTAGATAACCACTTATCTTCCTTACATGGCGATCTGCCCGATCGAGCCGGCGAGTTCGTCGACGTCCCAGCACTCCTCCAGCTGAAGCCTGTCCCCAGTCGATCTGTCTGCAGCTCTGCACATGCTGGAAGTCAACCCCACCACCACATATCCAGCTAGTTCTCAGCAGGACAAGTAGCCTTACGGGACTGAGGGCTCTCCTTGACGCTGGAGGAGGACGTCAGCGGCCTGTCGTTGCTTCAACGGACGTCAACGTCTTGTCAAAGGGGCAGTCAAGTCTGACATGGGGGACCCGAGGGGGCTGCTGCCGAGGCTGCGAAACCGCTGTTGGACTGTGTGAGAGTGGCAGGACAGAGGAGGAGGGCATCTCACGACAGATCGCGATGGAGTTTGCGGAGGAGATGCGATGAGGAGCCGCTGAGAGGAGGATCGCAGACTGTCTGTCCTTCCTGGTACAGGTGAGCATGCGCACCATGCCGGCCGCCCTCCAGCCAGACCGTGATGCCTTGACTTGCACTCGCAGATGACACGGTAGCAGCTCACGCACCGTCCTGTTGGCGAACCAGGGTCAGCCCGCCCCTTGCTGAGCCCATCAGCATCTCGTTGTACCTGACTGTGTGACACTTGACCTCTCAACCTCCTGCTCCGAGGGCCTACTAGGGTCAAGTCAGTCCGCCCACAGGAGGCGGAAGTCGCAAAGGAAGGTACCTTGCGCCGGAGAAGCGGTCGAGTTGGTCCATGGGATCGGAGGTGACGTAGATGTATTGAGAGCTCCTGGATGGAAGGCTGCATCAGAGAACAAGACAGATAAATAAAGCATGAAGATGGAGCACTGTGTGTGGAGGGTGGGAGCGCGACTCGGCGATGGAAGGGAGGAAGAGAGGGCGGCGGGAGCATGGAGGGTGGGGTCGGGAAGAGAGCGGGGACTCTGGGGGGGCACTGCGATGGAGTAGGAGCGCGCGGGGAGGGGGGGCAAGCGGAGCGATGAAGGGAGGAGAGAGCGATGGAAGGGAGGAGAGAAGAGGAGAGAGCGATGGAAGCAT